GCATTAGACAGTCTGTCCAACCCCCTTCCTTATCACTTGTCTTGTATATACTATGCATTCCTCAGCTCTGGGAAAGTGGTTAGCTTACAGATAGAAATATAGTGTCTCTTTGTTAACTTGAAATAACAAAATGGAGTCTGGTCTGTTCAGAGTGACTCAGAATATACACTTTTAGTTTCTATCATAGCACAAAATGTCTGCCGATATAAATACTCTGACAATACAGCACCATCACTTACTGCCCTCGCAACCGTTATTACAACTACAAGGTGCAGTACTCACCACTACAACCTTCATGACCTACGTCAGGTCCTTGCTCACACAACTGGGCCTCAACGCAAACAATTACTCAGGACACTCCTTTCGTATAGGAGCCGCGTCCACAGCCTCCAGTTTCAACGCCCCAACTCATGTTATCAAAACACTGGGGCGCTGGAAGTCATCCGCTTACTCACGGTACATACCGAACCCAGTACAAGAGTTAAGAGATGCTTTCATAAACATGTCTGGTTGATAAATGTATATGTATTGGTTGTCTGTTAATAAATTAGATTACTTAATTTTTGCCCTCTTCTTTCTCAGGCCTACCTCATCGTCGGTTTCGGCACACCACAACCGACTTGCTCCTTTTATCATCCTACGCTTATTCATGGTATTTCACACTGTACTATCTTAAGCACCTAACACAAGTATTAAGGCAATTTGCCTGCATTTGTGGGAGGTGCTGGTTTGCTACCCCTAGCCTACTTAAGGCACTCCCCTTACCTTGCTCCTTACCGTTCGAGGTCAGCGTTGAATGACCCTCCCACCACACCACTTTTAACATTTATTTCCTTTCTATTTCTTTTCCTGGGTGGGCCCTCTTCTTTCTCAGGCCTACCTCATCGTCGGTTTCGGCACACCACAACCGACTTGCTCCTTTTATCATCCTACGCTTATTCATGGTATTTCACACTGTACTATCTTAAGCACCTAACACAAATAAATATATATATTATTTCGTTCTACATGTATTTTGATATCAATATATATTAATTTTAAAATACAGTTAGAACGAATTTACACATATATATTTTTTATTTATTTTTTATATTTTATTTTTTAACGTATTTACATATTTATTTATATTATATATAAATATATATATATAATGATAATTTTACCACATGACAGGAGGCTTCATATTTGCATATCTTTCTTTACTGAAAACTCCAGCAGCATAGAAACATAACAACCAATCAGAAAAAAGTTATGATGCCCACAGGGGCGTACCTAGAGCATTTGGCACCCGGGGCGGATCCTGTGCTTGGCACCCCTCCCCCCCAAAAAAAAAAAAACCTGTAAAAAATGTTAAAGGTTTTATTTCTTTTATTTTTACAATTTGTAAACTTTGCAAAACCGCTGTCAGCCCCTCCTACAAAACCCTTGTCCTGCCCTGCCCCTCCTACAAAACCTCTGTCCTGCCCCTTCTACAAATCCTGTACTGCCCCATCTACAAAACCCCGCAACCCCCTTCCACAAATCCCCTGCTTATCCCCCCTTATAAAGACTCCTGTCCCAATACAAAACCCCCACCCCCTTCTACAAAATCCCTGCAGCCCCACACACACATTTACAGGCAGACAGTCACACACTCAGTTACAGACACAGTCACACACTCAGTTACAGACAGACAGTCACACACTCAGTTACAGGCAGACAGTCACAGACACAGTCACAGGCAGACAGTCACACATACACATTTCCTCCGTGCGGCCAGTTTATCAGCTGTTTGCTTGAGTGAGCTGTACTGGCCGCACGGCACCCTAACTACCATGGGACACTGTGCGGCCACAGCTCACACAGCCCCCTCCAGCCAGGGCCGGTACAAGGATTTTTGCCGCCCAAGGCAAAAGTAAAGTTTGCCGCCCCCCATGTGACATCACAATGCCCCAGCCATATGATTTGCCATGTTAACTAACGCCAGTGCTGCAGTGCCGCCGTGTTTACATTAAAAGGCCTGCAGGGACAGGCTATAGACACCAGAACCACTACATTAAGCTGAAGTGGTTCTGGGGACTATAGTGTTTCTTTAATGTGAGGTAAATTAGAGCTTAGTGCCACGAATAATATACTAGATTGCCTACTTACAACCAGATGAGGATGATGATGGCCTCTAGCTGCAGTCTGGCTCCACTGGTCTGGTGCAGAACAGGCTCTCTGGAGGCGGTTTGTAACTGTGGTCACAAAAATCAATGTTCTGGGAGAACGGGAAGCAGCTCCATTTTTTGGGGGTCCTTTACACAGAGCCCATCACCATCCTCATCTGGTTGTAAGTAGGCAATCTAGTATATTATTCGTGGCACTAATCTCTAATTTACCTCACATTAAATGGACACTATAATCCCCAGAACCACTGCAGCTTAATGAAGTGGTTCTGGTGTCTATAGCTGGTCCCTGCAGGCTTTTTAATGTACACACACACTGTGTGCAGCACTGGCATTAGTTTATATGGCAGATCATATGGGTGGGGCATTGTGATGTCACTGGGGAGTGGGTGGGGGGGGCTGCAAATCTTTCTTTTGCCTAGAGCGGCAAAAATCCTTGCACCGGCCCTGTATATGACATTACCCATAGCATAGCACCCTCACATTGCAGCCATGTTAACACGTCGGACACATTGTACAGTACAAAGTTATTTACAGCAGAAACAACACAGAAGTGGGTTCTTTGCTTGTCGAAATCAATTTCTCCAAAAATGGAGCATTTGAAATGACAGATTTTTCCACAATATAATAGTTAATAAATGAAGAGCATTCGTGGTTGTTGGGACTTAAGGACTCACGTAGTTCTGTCAGCATTTAACTTGTATTAATCATTTATTCATTATTTGGGGGCATTGCAAAAAGTGTCAGTCATTTGTGCTAAATGCATGATCTTTTAAAGTTTTAAAAGCAAGGCAAAGTGTGTGCTTGTGTGTGTTTGTGTGTGTGTTTGTGTGTTTGTGTGTGTGTGTGTGTATGTGTGTGTGTGTATGTGTGTGTGTTTGTGTGTGTTTGTGTTTCTGTGTTATATTTGAGCAACTTTAACAGCAGTGAAGAACAACATTCATAATAATGATGTAAATTAATTATAACACATGAAAATGGAGACTTGGTTAATCTTCTTACCTGGGAAAGCAATGTGCGGCAGACACCAACGAGGTTGGTGAGACGAGGGACCCTCCGCATATGTGTGAGCTTTCATAGACAATGCTGACTTGCCATGGCCACACACCTGGCGATGTGTTACTTCCACCTACAATCCGGTTATTGAACACTGACTGCCCACATCCTGTGAACATACAAAACGATACACAGATTTATTCACTAAACTGATCATTTAAAGTCATTTCAGAGTGAAATTCAACTTTACGGCCAAACTAGATACATTCTCTAAGTCAGGTTCTAGTTTCGTTACATTGGCCATAAATTTTAAATTCACTCTGAATTCATTTCCTACCATATATACAGAGGTCAGATAACAGCCAACTGGACCATGTACTCTGCATATTATAGGGAATTATGCAATATTGTTTTAGCTGCAAAACACATGCTGTGAGATCTGCTTTCTGACAACTGATGTTTCCAAATTGGGTCACAGATCAGATATTCCTCAGATCTTTGACCCACTGTCTCTAGTTATAAACAGAATCTTATGGTTAGGTCATTAAGGAATGGATCTCAATAAAACATGATTTTATATATCAATGGGTAGAAATTCAATATCACACCAAAATACTATAGCATACAGCCACTTCTCTAAACCCCATGATTTTCCAGGTGTACCCTGTCGCAAATAGCATCTTACATATAAATACTGTGAAAAAAATACTGCTCTGCTTTGTAAACCCATATTTATATCAAGCTTCATCAAGCCTTCCTTTCTACTTAAACCTTCCAGTTCTAGAGAGGAGAGAAACAGCAAGACAGGTATATAGTAGATATATGCCATGTTAGATAGACAGACAGATGGATAGAAGGATAAATGGGTAGATGGATTGACAGAAATGCAGATTATTTGATCATACAGTTAACTCGTTTTGGTCCATACCTGAAGCTGTTGCCAGTGCCACAAAACCTGTAAAATAAAAACAAAAGATTAGCGATTTAAAGCAGAGTTCCATTCTCTCTATGTTGACCATTGATATGATCAGTGGCTGAACCTTCGGGTTTCAAGGTGATATTTCACACCCAGCAAGAGTGCAGAAAATGAAACATTAATATAAAGGATTCAATTTCACACGTTCTCTAAGAGCTGTGAAATACTGTCCACATCTGCCGTGAGATGATGTTACAAGGTGTCAATTAAACATTTATTCCAGGTGACAGTAATGATGCCATGGCCTGGACAGCATACCTCAACAATCCCACCATAATCTCACCTTAAACATGGGGCCACACTGGAGGGACTGGATGTTTAAATTAACGAAGATCCACCAAAGCAAAATAGTTAAATATATCATATATAAGTAAAATAAAATAAAAATATGTTATATACGTTAATATTTGGAATAAAAGAACGTCTTGATAGTTTAAGGAATTTCTAAGGGAATTGCAAATTGTAAAACAAAAAAAAATGCAAACAATTATCCAATTCAGCTAGATTTCCAGTATGATGGCCAATAAACGCAATAACTCTGCATGTGTATGTGTATTGCGTGGGAAGGAAAAGACAGAAGTATTTACTGAAATAAATAATTTTACAATATTTTATCATTTATTTTACTCAAAATTGCATTATCAGTATTTGAATCTCTCTGACATGAGTCCTTTCCTGCAGATAAGTTTGATGTTCTTCTATAACTCCATGTACACATTATGAAAATAGCTAATTACTTCTGGATTCTAAAAACTTGTCCTATTATGACTCACTCATGCCGAGGAGGACAGTGGTGGAAGCAGCTCTCCAGCAGAATATTCTTGCCATATCTCCTTGGTCAGTAAAGTCTAAGAAGATCTTCTGAATGGTTTGTCTCCTTAGCTGTGTCTCCTTCTGATATATTTCTTGTCCCTTTTTGGATTAGAGGTTAATATCTTGATCTCCTTCAAAGTAGTTGTGTTGATGTTCAATCTCCTCCTGTGTTCCTTCAGATTTTAACAAGTTCCCAGTTTTTTGTTTTTTTTACTTCCTTATCTCAGTCTGTCTGTCCCTTCGATTCTCCCCTTTGTCTCCCTTTAACACTACATACACTTTATTTGCGCCAACTCTCAATTTTAGTCAATCATATGAGTGCCTCGTCTGGATCAGACCCTTTGTCTATCTCTCTCACACAATATGTGTCTTCTCTTGAAAAATGCCTGACCTCCCTCCTTTATCTATGGACTTGCTTTAGTTGCTAGCCTTCTTCTATCACTGATTGCTTATTTGCACTAACTTCTATCACAAATGACCTTTTGTGGATTCACCACTAGTCTTTCTCTATCACTGATTACCTTCTCTGGACCAGCTAATAGTCTTCTTCTATCACTGATGACCTTTTCTGGATTAGCTCCTAACCTTCTATATCTGGCTTATTTCTCTGGGCTACCTACTAGTTTTCCTCTATCGCTGATTACCTTCTCTAGACTAACTGTTAGTCTTTCTTTATCACTGATTGTCTTCTGGACTAGCTCTTAGTCTTATTTGAACCATGTCTTTGGTTTTCTCCCAGTAGATGTTGGTAGACCTGCTCCTATAATTTATGTTTCTATCTTTCTCCCCTCCCTATGTTTAAAATTTTCCTCTCTATATATTTTGTTTCCTCAGGTTCCGCCTGTTTTCTCAGTGTTACGTTCCTCTCTGGATTGTCTTCTGTATTTTAATGCCAACATCTACTTCAAAATCTGCCAGCTTCCTGGATGGTGCCAATTGTTTTTTAATCAATACCTTCATTGTGACTGCTTTTCAAAACCAGTTCAAAATCAATAAATGAATAAAACATTATATAATGAAGAATATATTCCCTATTGCACTATATTTATATCTGTTTTCAAGGGAGGGAGACCTGGTACATGCATGTCATGGGGAAACTACTACAAAACAAGCAGGTTCGACTAAACGTACTGCTTGTTTGCAACATCTAAGTAATTTTGAGTTGTCATTCCAATAAATAATGAATAATGAATGAATACGCAGTACAAATTGTGCTGGAAATGAATTTTATACAGCCATAAAGATGACTTGGCAACGTTTTGAACTCTGGGAGGTCATTGTCCATGACATAACTTGACGAGGATCTCCAAGAGTTCAAAACTTTGCCAAGTGAGCTTAATTATTGGATAAACTTCACTTCTAGCACAATTCAGACTGAGGACACATTCATTTATTTATGGAATATGGAGATCTAGGGGCGGAAGTCACCTCCTGACACCCCATGATATGTAATTGTACCTGTTATGGCTTGCTTTATATTACTATAGTTCTACTGAAAAATAAACATTAGATGGAAGTTACAAAGCAACTGTTTTTCTAGCTGGTCCATGTCTCTGCGCTTTAATTAATTATACTTCTCTTGTCTTCATGCTAATTGGATTAATGTAAGAGCAGGAAATGCATTCTTGGGTTAAATCACTAAACCAGGAATTAGGACAATTGACCCAGGAATTATAGTTCAATATCCATATTAGAAAAAAAAAAAAAATTCAACTTTTCCTGTCAGTTCTCTCCTATTCCATGCTTTTTGTATAAACTGACAAGTTAAATTATCCTTGATAGACCATGGTCTGTTTTCTAATGAAATTCTCTACAGAAGTCCCAATTAACATCTATGAGAATTTTTTGTAGACAAGTCATTTGGAACATTTTTCTTACAGATTTATATCGCTTAATCATTAAAACTGAAAAGCCTATTCAAAATATTAAATTGAAATGATTGAAGTGTAAAGTGTTGCGTTTTGAGTTCGTGTCTTGCTCTCAAGAGCTCATAGACTAAACCTTGAGAAAACAAATAAAACCTTTATTAATATATATTGGAATACTTTGCAGCGATTTCTCAACTAAAATAGGCGTTATATCACCTTTAAATGTTACCAATTCAACTATTGTTGCCTAAATGTTGCCAATATTAAAGAGACACGCCACTGCCAAGATAAATAAATATCACTATATAGTAGATACACCTCCTTGAGAGCATGCATGCATTTAATTATGCATTTTACATTGGGGATATATCTAAACACAGCTGGCAAAAGCTGCAGCCTTTCGATGGCTGTCCAATCACAGACTTCCCAATGCAGCTCAATGAGAAGTCTTTACAAGCCCTCCCCCTCTAACCCCGCCCAGACTTTCTGTGGCTGTCCAATCACAGACTTCCCAATGCAGCTCAATGAGAAGTCTTTGCAAGGCAGGTGTTATGAGCAATTTCTAGTTCCACTGAGCTCAACAAACCAAGAAGTTACAGGACCAGCTGTCTGATTGACAGCTGGCATGTATCCCGGGGGTAACAAGGATAATATATAAAAGTGTCAAGTTTTATTGCATTGTGCACTTTTTCTAAAATGAAAAAAGAGGATACACTCTTCAAACGTAAAGGATTCAGCAAGATAAATTATTTTAGGGATCTGGAGAGTTCCTTTAAGCAGAAAGTCAAAATTCTGCACACGGAACCTAATTTCCGATTTTCATTAAAAAACAACTTTGTAAATTTCATTTTAACCACTTTTTATCTTAAAATTGAAGTTCTGAATGAATAAATAATGACATACATTCAGCCTAATGGCAGCAAACCTAGAGAGGGTCCATTTTGGGCTCCCTCCTTTTCGTGTAACTGATTGCTTCCGATACACTGAACCCTGCTTTGTAACTATACACCCCACTCCTTCCATATTGTGAACTTTCTCATCCCTATCGTAAGGTCCCTCGTTGCTAGTTATCAGGGTTACTAGCGATCTCAATTTCATTTATTTATTCATTCTAACATACTTCTGTTTATTTTGGGAGACTAATTAATCTGCAATTAAATACTAAACTTTTCCTAATATATTCACTCCACACATGAGGCAAAGCAGGGACATTTACTTGATGCACTATATAAAATCAGAAAACCTGTTTTTATTTATTACCCTTTGTATGTAATTGTCTATTGTTCTTTTTGTTTAAAAAGTGTTGGTGTTTCTTCTACAATTTGAGCTAAAGCATCATTTTGTCATTAGTGTAATCCATAGAAAACGTTTAGTCTCTATTTTCGTCCCCTCCTCGTTAGTTATTTTGATTGACTTCCTAGTCGGTTAAGCCACAGTTCCTGAGTGAATTGTGTAAAATGATTCTACTGATTGTGACTGACTGTGGGCAGCTTAGAGGGACTGATGATGGGATGTGGATTTGAAGTAGGATTGAGCCAATTGCTGATCTTTCAAAGATTTTTATCTTATCTGATTATTTTCTGTTTCTGGAAACCTCTCCACGTACATTAGTGACGCAGGTGTATGGCCTCCATGTTTAGTCATTACAGACACGCTGTGAATATGTTATTTCAGATACTCACTCTGCCCTGGCTTAAACCTTTATCTGCCGAAGGTGTAGTCAGGTCTGTAGAAATTCTGAATTCTATTCAGAATATTCTATGAACAGTCTAAACATTCTAGTCGTTCCTTATAATTTCATCTGATTAGATTGTCAGCCAGATGTATGTCTTGTCATATCCCTAGCAGAAACAAAATCTGGAACCAAAATTAATCTCAAATGAGATTTCACTGTTTCACAATTAATATATACGGTAGTTTAAATTAAATTGCAAAAAAATAAAAAGTTACCTGGCTTTCTGGGAGAGGGGAATAGGTCACACAATTCAAACAATGTCTGGTTATTACAAGGCAAGGCAAGTAAATGTAGGAGCATTTTCTTTATATATATATTTTTAAAAAGACCCCCAAAAGGTTTAACGCTTTGAGACACAAAGGTGTTAGCATCAGATTGATAAATGATAGAAAGTAAAAAAAATTGTTTCGGCCAAACCACTTTGTTCAATATTTTAAAAAAAAATTTGGGCCATATGGCAGTTCAGCTCATTCAAATTTTGGTAACAAAAATAAAAACATAAAAACAAATCGGCCAAACCAAACTATAAATATTATTTACATATTTTGTAGTACTCTGATTGGTGCATTTTCCCACATGTTGGTTCAAAGATCAAGTGAGAACAAGTAACCAGTAAAACGAACAAGAGACGCAGTTAAAAATTGGTATTTATATATTTACTGCATACATAGTATAGAAATATAGCTTTTCTGTTACTGCTCCGCCTGATTCCCTCCCTATTGGTCATTTCTCAGTTGATCTGTGAATAAAATAAACATTTAGCCACAAATCTTCAAATCACGAAACAAAACCAACACGCTCGTTCGTTGCGTAGCTTGGTTCGTGATTTGGCTACATTTCGGCACTGAGTTTGAGAATTTGTACATTTGCCCAAATTCGGATGAATTGCAGTTTGTAACGTAATGAATCTCCAAGTCTAATAAAAGATGTATATTTGCTGGAAGCCTTCCCCAGTCTTCAAGTAATCTCTCTGTTTCACAGGCTTATTGCCCTGAACCTATTGATCACAAGAGTAAAATACTCAATGGGGACATAAAATTAAGTCTTGCACTCAAACTCCCACTACTCTTTGGTGGCAGCAAAACCTAATAAATTCATCTGCCCCAATACATTGACACAAGAACAACAAAGGGCACACAATCCCATATCTCTTTGCACATTTAAATGAAATAGAGGTTTTTTTGTACCACTGAAATGGCCACTAAAGTGCAAGCTTACCTGCCACGTCAAGGCAAAAGCTCTTCGGCGATTCCTATGCTAACAATTCACCTTGCTGCTCTCAGCTAAAAGGTAAAATCTCTAATCAGATGAAACCATTGTAATGTCCCTAATAATATTATTAAGCAAAAATATGTTTTGGTTAATCAAACATCCCATGATTGAATTAAACACATGAAAAAAAAACAATTTATTTGTTTACTCACCGATTAGGAGGGAAGGGATTGCAAGAAGAAGGCATGAAGTCTTCATTAGTGAGCTGTATAAAATGGTTGTGCACTAGAGATAGCTGTGTGTGAATGACGTGTGAGATAGCCCTGTATGTGAGAAAGAGTTGTGTAGAGAGATAGCGGCTTGTGTCAGGATGCAATAGTTCTGTTTTCTCGGCAGTTGCTAGAGTGTGTGAGAGAGATAGTTGTGTAAATGAGAAATAACTGTTTATAAGGTAGATATGTAGGTCAGCTCTGTATATGTGAGAGATACTGTGCATTTAACATATAGCAGTGATTGTGAATGATAGCAGTGTGTGCAAGAGAGACTGCTGTGTTTGAGGTTACAGTGTGTGTGTGTCTGTGAGTGTGAAAGAGAGATAAATGTGTATATCAGGTAGAGGTGTGAGAGAAAGAGCTTTGTATGCTAGATTGCAGTGTGTGTGTGTGTGTGTGTGTGTGTGTGTGTGAGATAGTTGTGTATAGCAGGTAGAGGGGTGTGAGAGATAACTCTGAGTGCATGAGAGACAGAAAGAAATGTGTGTGTGTGTGTGTGTGTGTGTGTGTGATGCAGTGTTGAGGGAGATATCTGTGTGTGAGAGTGATATGCTATATATGTTGTGTGTGTGTTTATGAATGTTGCAATGTAATAGATAGCAGTGCAGGATACATATTTTGTATGATAGGTAGCTGTGTGCGTGAGGGATGTTATATCTGTTAGATACTACAGTGTCAGAGAAGATGTGTGTGTTAGATAGTGTGTGAGAGATGCTGTGTGTGTTAGGTAGCTGTGTGTGTGTGTGTGTGTGTGTGTGTGTGTGATGCTGTGAATGTGAGATAGCTGTGTGTGTGATATTTTGTATGTTAGGTAACTGTGTGTGTGAGATGCAGTAAATGTGAGATAGATGTGTGTGATATTTTGTATGTTAAGTAGTTGTGTGTGAGGTGCTGTGAATGTGAGACAGGTGTGTGTGTGATAGTTAGTATGTTAGGTAGCTGTG